CATACGAGCTCGTCCTCTTGGTTGTCCTGGTTGCTGAGGCATCCATTGCTCCTATGGTCTGAAAAAAGGGTGACACGCAGAAATTACTCAGTCTTCATATAGTATTTCGTACGATAACGTAGAAGAACAAAAGAAACTCTAATGTACCTTCCTTAAACCCTAGAAAAACCTTTGGGGACCACCCCCAAGGATTCGGCCCTAAATTCTTACTCTTTATGAAAGAAAAAGCCTTCTCACAACTGCCCATAAACATGCACCACAAAGGTTTACCAAACAGTTCATACCCGCCATTATCGTCAAGACAAGCTATCTACAAAATAGTAAAAGAAAAGTAAAGGAGAAATCCTCCTTACCTCTTGGCTGCGGAGAACAGACTTCCTGCTGTAAACAAAAGGTGTGCACCAACTGGAAAATGGGGATATTGGTCTCGTGAGAGCTTTGTTCTTTCTTTGAAAGTATGAGTTTTGTGACAAAGCTTAAGGCGAGCCTGGGGTTTTATAGGGGGAAGATGCGACGATTGATTTTCCCTAAAGTAAGCATCGCTTGGCAGAATACGTTTCTCGCCATTGATTGCGACCACGTGTCATCAATCCTTGAGAAGAAGTAACCGCCACGCTTTGAGAATGTCAATCGACGCTTCCTCACATTGGAATAACCAAGCGACGACTCAATTATCTCCTCCACATTAAATGCGCCCTTATCCACATTTAATGCCTTGAAAGGGAATGTTGTTTTAGCATGGCTTGCATTTAATGCGCATGGCTGGCACTTATTACACATTAGACACGTCTGTCACAATAAAGATTGCTTTATTAAACAAATTAGCTATCAAGCACAATGAATAACATCTGAAAATGTCGTTTGGGCAGAACACTCTTCGCCGCGTATCGATTTTGAGACAATGCGATTCCTTGTCTTTGGTAAAAAAAATGCTAAATATTATCAGGTTGCGAACCACGGATGAGATTTGAAGCACATCGGTATGACACTGAGTGGGGCCTGATCCAGGTTGTTGAACTTGTGAAAGAAGGCCACCTCAGGTCGCTTGTACTACCCTTAAAGACATGTGCTACGACCTCCTTGCAGCTCGGTCAGCTCGACCAAGCGTCATTCAGGACAAGTCAAGTCACGGCATAATAATGAAGTTCTCAAGGTTCAATCCTTAAACCTTAAAAACTGGGGGACTTCTATTATGCCTGAAAAGTTAGGGCTGATGTGGACTCGTCAGCAAGAGCTAATAAGGGATCAAGAAGGTTTTGTGCCATCCAAGTGCTGCTACGGAAGAGGTATGGTTCTTGTCAGTGCAGCAGGTGAGTACATGTGAGTGTCAGGCTTGCGAGTGGTTAGGAATTGTCCACCTGCCCAAGCCCTATGCAATTTGAGGATATTTCTCGTGCAAATAACCAATGAGATGCAAAGAAGGATTTGCACGACACCTACCCACTTGCAGACTTGTAATCATTACCTTGAACTCTCCCACTGTAAATAGAGGACACCCCTCTCATTTACGAGATTGGCTAATCTTATACTAAAATAGCTTGCACATTTTCTCTCTCTTTTTGTATTCTCTCTAGATTATAACTCAGCTCAACGCACGCGACCTGATTTTACCCATCTATCAATACAATAGCAGTGGACGTAGGATTCGCTTTTAAGCATCCGAACCACTTTAAATATCGCTTCTCATTCATTGTTTCATTTCATTTTTCCTTATCACGTGTGATTTTTAAGTCCGCTTAGCACTTGCATGTGTGAGTCGTTGGTGTCAAAATCAAGCATCAACAAAAGACATTTGAATATGTTTTTAAAAGAAATATTATCCATTAGGGTGAATTTTTTCATACTTTATCAATGGAACGATATAAGTTACAATTTGTTCAACTAGGGGACAAGTAACATTTATTTGTTGTTAACTTTAACAGAAAATTAAAAAAAAAAAAAAAATGATTTAGATGTCCTTGCCTTTTTTTTCTTTTTTTAGGTGAATTTAGTTCTTAAAATCTAAATTTCAAATTTTTTGAAAAACTATAAAAAAAAGACCATAACCAATTTTATTCAAAGGAAATAAATAAATAAAAAAAAAAAAACACAAATTAAGATATTTAAAACTAAAAGAAAATTTAATAAAATAAAATATTTATTTTGTAAAAAGGAATAATTTAAATATTTTGTTTTGTTTTTTAATTTTGATTTTAATTTGAAATTTTTTATTATTTATTTTGTAAAAAAAATAATTTAAATTTGTTCAATTACGTTTTTACCCTTATATAAAGTTAAGTCTAACCCTAAGTAATCGTTTATTGTCTCTTAATTAAACAATTTATAACTTCTGTCTTCTCATTGATAAAGTATGAAAAGTTTGTACCCTAATTGATAATATTCCTTGAATGCCTTATTTTCTTGAAAAGTATAATACCAAATGCTTCTCTGAGAAACATTTAAATTTTTTTTTAACCATAGTAAAGGACTTTCATTTAAGTTCACTAAATTATGAAAGCGCATACTTTTTGATAGAGTTAAAAGAATATTTATAAATAATCTAATATTATAGAACAGAGTTAAAAAAATTTCTATTTAATATAACTAAATCCTAAACACCTATTTTTAATTTATTTTCTAAACTTTACGTGCCCCTTAGATTTAGGATCTATTAAAGCATTTTATACTTTATTGACTTTGAAATGTACTAAATTCATAGTATTCTCAGATGATATAATCAACGAAGGAATACATATTGATCTTAGATGAATCAATATAGATAAATAGATATATTATACAAAATTTTCTTATATCTAGAAACTAGGGTGCGTTTGGTTTATTATTTAGATATGATTTTGGGGATAGTATTGGATAGTTGGATAGAGTTATTCTTACGAAGTGAAATTTAAAAATTTACGAAAAAACCTCCTAAGTTTACTAATTTAACCAAATACCCCAATATATAAATTTTTGTAAAATGACAAAAATACCCCCACCCACCTACAGTGCCAGATTCCAGTCACCACCACCGGAATCTGGTCAGAATCTTGCGTTACAACTCAGATCGGTCAGATCTGGCTGCACATGCATCGATCTGCCCTTTTCCAGCCAGATCCACCTTTTTTGGCTAGATCGACGGCCACATCTGGCCGTCAACGGCCAAAAAAGGCCGGATCTGGCCAGAAAAGGCTAAATCGGTGACTTACTGGCCAGTTCTAGTGGTTTGTAGGCCGTTGTGATAGATTTCGACTACCACCGATGGTGGTTCCTGGAATCTGGCAACTATGGGTGAGTGGGGGTGTTTTTGTTAATTTTTAAACTTTTTTTCCTAGGGGTATTTAATGAAATTAATAAACTTAAGGGGTTTAAAAGTAATTAAAAAATATAATAATATTTCCCAAATAATTAAACAAACAAATATTTTGGGAATAAGACTGGGAATATGGATAGGAAAAATAAACCAAACACACCCTTATATGAGTTTGATTTTGGAAATTGTTTGCAAATTATAGACACAATTTTTTTCTTTTTAAGATTGAAGGATTCTTTGGAAAGACAAACATATATATCTTTAATTATTTGCAATATAATTTCATATACATAAAAAAATTACTCTCTTTTAGCATATGGGGTTATATGGACGCCAAGTAAAATGCTTTAGACCCAATTTTAAAATTCTAGAATTAAACTCTTCTTCCACGAACTCCCATAGTTGTCAATATATAGATAGATACCTTTTTAATAATATTTTTAGAGTATATTCTTTCAATATCTTACACTTTGTCAAGTGATTCAATTGTAACACACCGAACTTCTCATTTTCTCAAGCATCAAATATCTCGGCTTACACTTTATCACTGTGGATTTGGCAGGAAAAAGCTAAATCGGTGACTTACCGGCCAGTTCTGGTGGTTTGTAGGCCGTTGTGACAGATTCCGATTACCACCGACGGTGGTTGCCGGAATCTGACAACTATAGGTGAGTGGGGGTGTTTTTGTTAATTTTTAAACTTTTTTTCCTAGGAGTATTTAATGAAATTAATAAACTTAAAAGGTCTAAAAGTAATTGAAAAAATATAATAATATTTCCCAAATAATAAACAAACAAATATTTTGGGAATAGGACTGGGAATATAGATAGGAAAAATAAACCAAACGCACCCTTATATGAGTTTGATTTTGGAAATTGATTGCAAATTATAGACAAAATTTTTTTCTTTTTTAAGATTGAAGGATTCTTTGGAAAGACAAACAGATATATCTTTAATTATTTGCAATATAATTTCATATACATAAAAAAATTATTCTCTTTTAGCATATGGGGTTATATGCACGCCAAGTAAAATGCTTTAAGCCCAATTTTAAAATTCTAGAATTAAACTCTTCTTCCACGGACTCTCATAGTTGTCAATATATAGATAGATACCTTTTTAATAATATTGTTAAGAGTATATTCTTTCAATATCTTACCCTTTATCAAGTGATTCAATTGTAACACACCGAACTTCTCATTTTTCAAACATCAAATATCTCTGCCATCAATCCAACGATTTTAAATACTATAATCCACAAGTGAAACATAGTTTTCAATTTCTCCCATATAAAGAATTTAGTTCTTACATTGAATACACAAGCTTAAACTAAATAGATCGACCTCCAAGATTGGTACAAGGGAAATTTGATCCTTAAATCTCTTGCTTCCATCGGCTTGAAGACCTTTGATGGTTTTGCTTGTAATTATATGAACATGCATGCTTGTTAAAGGAAATGTATGTTAATTAGGTTTACAAATTACATAAGTTCAATTGATTTATTTTATTCATGTCTCTCTTGGACCCTTCGTGCCTTGTTAATTTACTCAGCGATTGATCTGGACTGAGGTTGTTGTTTCCAGTATCGCTTGTCTAGAAAATGTAATGTTTCGATGCAAAGAAAACTTGATCGATCACAATAAGGGGAAGGGTTAATTTATGCCAAATGCTTCAACTTAAAATCAAATTATCATAGATACATTGTATTCTAGATTACAGGACTTGTACTATTACGTGGGAAATTATACCTAAATTATCTCATTTAATTAATCATTTTTCTTAACCTTTGGAACTTTTATGAACAATTCCTTCAATCCATGGATCCCTTTGTCAGCAAAAGAATCAACATAGTCCTCATATCGATCATACAGAAAGGGCAACGTTTCCGAGCAAAGTAAACCTTTAGGCATAACAAATTTAGAGAAACAATTTAATAGGCCAATTCGAACTTCAATTTAAGTCATGGACATTAAATTAATGCAACTAATTAAGGTGAAGATTCTTACCGAAATAAAGGAGATCTAAGAAGCTGAAATGGTTTCCAATTATGGACAGTATGTAGAGACAGACAATGTTCTGATGAGAAAATAAGAATAATTAATTGTTAGCGAAATTCTCGCCAAGCTTAATTACTATAGGTAAAATTGTATTGTTTCCCCCACGTAGCCAAAGTGTATTCAGTGGGGTCATTTGACCCCATTGAAATTATGAAATAACTATTTTATAGTAATTAATAATTTTGATCCCATTAAATTATGTTGACCCACTAAAATTACTCATATTTTATTGACCCCATTAAAATATTTTCATATTTTATTGATTTTGGAATTCGAAAATACTCATATTTTTTCACGTTTTCTCTCTTCCTCAATTCCTCTCTTCTTCTCTCATACTTTCTTATTCATTGGTTGGATTAATCCAGAAAGACTATTCATTTGGAGGTCATAGGATAAGATGATGTTCATTTTTTGTTATTTTGCTTAAAAATCTCTTATTCTATTTTTTTTAATTGATGAAAGATCATGAATTATGTTGCCTTAGGTTGTTTTTATCATTTTATGTATGTAATTGACATAATTCAATTATGGTGTAGCCAAAGTATAATTTTATATATATAACTTCTATAATTAAATTTTTAGAATATAATTTTTTATGCTTATTAATTCAATATATATTTTATTGTAAATTTATCAACTTACATCTTTTGATCCCACTAACTAGAAATCCTAACTATGCCCTTGGTTGCCCCCTATCTATGGCATAAAGAAATATAACCCTTTTGATTAAAAAAATTAATAATATTAGCCCATAATTTAAAAAACAACAAAAGAAATGCATTAAGGTCATTTTGCCTACACTTATAGTCTTATATCATTTCAAAAATAAAAATAATAATAATAATAAAAAAATCTAACATTAAAATAAAAAATTTAAGAACAGTCTTACTCCTTTGATTTCATAAACTAATAATGTTACCTCTAATTTTTAAAGTTAAATGTTCAGATTAAACATTAAAGAAATAACATTGTTAGTTTTTGAGATCAGAGAATAAGATTTTCTTAAATCGTTCTATTATATGGTTGTAAAGCATACCAGAAATATGAACTTTAGATTATGTCCAATAAGCAAGCATATCACAATGTATTGGAGTTGATCTTTTCCATATGCAAGGTCGATAAGGTCCATTAGTACCTGTTATTGTAGAATTGTGGAAGCACTTTAAATTAATACAAATTAAATAATTCATTAATTACACACAAAATATAATAATTTAATATGATTGGCTGGAAAGTCTATTTTCAGAGTAATAATACTCTTACAATCTAGTCTTACAAACTTTCTCTCATAACTCCGACCTCACAATTGATCAGTTCGCAAATGAGTCTTGCTTATCCATTTACGAGTTGACCAATTACAAACTATCACGTCAGTGTTATGAGAGAAAGTTTATAAGATTAAATTGTGAATCAATTTTTATTCTTTCAGAAAAAAAGAGAAATTCATTATCATATACTATAAGATATAATAATGCTGACAAAATCCTTAAAGACCAATAGTTTCAGAAGGTGTAATTTAAACAAATTTTTTTTTACATCTCAACAAGTTTTATTAGTTGTATTTCACTTTTAACATACTTTTTTTTTTTTTTTAAAGAAATATAAACTCATAATCATAAGAAAATTATAAAAAGAAACTAAACGAAATTCTTTACAACACCTTATTCAATCTCTCGCAGAAGGTTGAAGCAACTTGATTTAAAGTTGCACAGAAGGTTGAAACAGCTTCTCTTAATGTTGATTCACTTATTATAGTTCCGTTGAGAAGAAACCTGAGATTTGCAGATAACAGCTTAATGAAGATAATGTCTTGGATACATAAAAATGACAATTCTAACAGTAAAATTATGTTATAATGCAAGAGGAAGATGTTTTAGTGCGAAGAAGAAACAGATACCGATGGCCGAAATATATTTGAATAATGAACCAAATGTAAGGTACGAGCAACGTGGCCATAGAAATGTGGCAGAAGAGAGTCACCAAACTGTACTCCATAACCTCGAAAAGAAACCATATCACTGTCATCCCTATCAACAGCGAGGCTGCTGCTTTTTTATTCTTCCATAACAAGATATCCGCAACTGAGAATTTAATTCAGTAAATTTCGTTAATTTTTCATCGACAATGAGTTGGCAGAATGAATTATGTAAAATATATAGTACCTCTTCCTCCTCCAAGAATGGCATGTACGGACAGTTGACGCCCAAATAACCTTACCGGTTGTTGTTGGGGCATTGTTACTGGTGCAGTTTGGCTGCACTGTTAATTAATTTGGCGAATGAGTTTTTGAGATATGCAATTTACTCCAATTTAAATATATGGACATGAAGGCTCTAGGCTTCTCAAGAGAATTATATAACTCCATTGAAGAAGTAACGAATGTCTCGGGGCTTTTCTTTAAAAGAACATAAGTTTGAATATGAAGCCTTCTATGATATTGGCCAACAATTGCATAAATTTCGGAGAAAGAATTTAATTACTGTGTATTATTTAACTTGTTGCTTTCTTTGAAAGTAATTTTATTTAAAGGCATTTGAATATATTTTAAAAGGAATATTATCTATTAGGGTAAAAATTTTCGTACTTTATCAATGGAACGAAATAAGTTACAATTTGTTCAATGAGGGGACAATTAACATTTATTTGCTATTAACTTTAACGGAAAATGAAAGAAATGATTTAGATGTGTCCTTGCCATTTTTCTTTTTTTAGGTGAATTAGTTCTTAAAATCTAAATTTCAAAAAATTTGAAAAACTAAAAAAAAAAAAAAAAAAATGACCAAAACCAATTTTATTTAAAGGAAATAAAAAAAATTAAGAAATTTAAAACTAAAAGAAAATTTAATAAAATATTATTATTTATTTTGTAAAAAGCAATATTTAAATCTTTTACTTGTTTAGTTTTTTAATTTGAAAATTTTTAATATCTATTTTGTAAAAAGAATAATTAAATTTTTTTCAATTACGTCTTTACCCACATATAAAGTTAAATCTAACCCTAAGTAGTTGTTTATTGTTCTTTAATTGAACAATTTATAACTTATGTCTTCCCATAGATAAAATATAAACAGTTTGTACATTTTTTTATAATATCCCTTTAAAGAATGCTTTTATTTTCTTGAAAAGTATAATACCAAATGCTTCTTTGAGAAACATTTTATTTTATTTTTTAATTCAAAGAATCGTAAAGAACTTTCATTTAAGTTCACTAAATTATGCAAAAGAAATATAAACCATTTTTAATTATTTGAAGGTGCATGCTTTTGGATAGAGTTAAAAGAATATTTATAAATCATCTAATATTATTGTTGATGCTTGATTTTGGACACCAACGACTCGCACGTGCAAAGTGCTAAGAGAGTCTTAGAAATTACACGTGATGGATCCATGAGATTGGAATATGGTGTTGAGATTACATATGTTGCAGAAAACATAAATAATAGACTAACAAGAGAGGTTTTTATAGTGGTTCGGATGCTTAAAACAAATCTTACATCCACTGTTATTTTATATTCTCTGGCTATTTCTATGATATTGCTCGTAAGGCATACAAAGATGGAGAAATACTTTGTTTATAGAGAGAAATAATGAAGCTCAAATTTATATCCAACCCCTCCTTTTCGTGAAGAAAAGTATCAATTTATACACCTTTGAGGTCAATATAATGAGTATTTTGCAAGTTACCTTGGACACATAGACAACTCTCATCCGTTCTTCTCTTAAAATGAGATAGGGTTGGTATAAGATATCTTTGAGGCGGTATGGGCTTGACAGGAAATACAATTTGTCTTTTAGGCACTTACTGAGCTGACATCAGCGTGACTTTTTAGGCATAACAGAACATAACCCCCCCCCCCCCCCCCCCCAAAAAAAAAAAACGCCAAAAAGTTTTTGGAGTGCGTAATTGTGCTTCAAAAACTCAGGTCTTTGATCTGAATGGCTGTTGCACTGCAGACTGCAGTCTTGAACTGAAGAGCTCGAACTATGCCTGGCGCGATCGGGTGCTGAGTGCTAGGATTGCGATCTAAAATCTTGGAGCGATCCGAAGCCGAGCGGGATCTGATAATTGAAATGAAATGTCCAATAGATGAATTCCTGGAGAGAGCTAGCGTCAAAAGCCCAAACACATGACTTAGAGGCCTTAAACGACTAAGCCAACTTAAAACAGTCATAACTTTTGATCCGGGAGGAGTTTTAGAGCCTATAAGATATCCACGGAAAGCTTGTTCTGAGCTCTAAATCATGGTAATTGGGGGACCCAGTTGGGCCATTTTCAAGTCCAAAAGCCATTGTTTCGGCATGTTTCGGGGTTGTTTTGAGTTTTCTACGTGTTTTTTTTACGCTGGCAACTGGTCGCGATATGAGAATTGAGAACTAATCGCGATCTGAGAGTTGAGAACACGACTTGAAGTTGTTCGCAATATCAGAGCTAAGAGCTGATCATGATTTGAGTGCTAGGAGCTGATCGTGATCTAATAAGAGTTCGACCTGAGAGTCTGAGGCATACGATCTGAACAATCTAATGCACACAATCTCAAGTAAACAAGTGAGCTTATGAGCTCAATTAGAGCATAAGGAGCTCGATTAGAAAGTGTGGAAGGAGTTCTATTAGAAAGCGCGAAGCTTGATCTAAAAACACAATGAGTTCGATTAGAAAGCGTGAAGCTTGATCTGAGAACACAAGGAGTTCCATCAGAAAGCGCAAAGCTTGATCTGAGAACTCGAGATCAACAATCTATGCTTTTGATCAGCGATCTGGCCACGCGATCGGAGAGCTAAAGATCAGCGATCTGAGGCTGAAGATCAGCGATCTGAGCGTGCGATCAACGATTTGGCCACGTGATCGAAGAGCTAAAGATCAGTGATCTGAGCATGCGATCCGCGATCTGGCCACGCAATCTGAGGCTAAAGATTAGCAATCTGAAGTTGAAGATCAAGACGATCTGAGCATGCGATCAGCGACCCAGCCAAGCGATCTGAGAACTTTGATGCTTGCGATCAGCGCTCTGGCCATGCGATCTGAGAACCCTGATGCATGCGATCATCTATCTAGTCACGCCATCTGAGAACTCTGATGCATGCGATCAGTTATTTGGCCACGCGATCAGAGAACTCTGACGCGTGTGATCTGGCCACGCGATCTGAGGCTAAAGATTAGTGATCTGAAGCTAAACATCAAGACGATCTGAGCGTACGATCAACGATTCGGCCACGTGATCTGAGAACTCTGATGCGTGCGATCAGCGCTCTGGCCACGCGATCTGAGAACTCTGATGTGTGCTATCAGCGATCTGGCCACGCGATCTGAGAACTCAAAGGAGTGCGATCAGCGATCTGGCCATGCGATTGGAGAACTCTAATGCGTGCGATCTACGATCTGACCATGCGATTGGAGAGCTAAAGATCAACAATCTGAAGCTGAATATCAAGACGATCTAAGTGTGCGATCAGCGATCCGGCCACGCGATCTGAGAACTCTGATGCGTGCGATTAGCGATTTGGCCACGCAATCTGAGAACTCTGATGCGTGCGATCAACGATCTGGACACGCCATCTGAGAACTCTGATGCGTGCGATCAGCGATCTGACCATGCGATCTGAGAACCTTGAGGTGTGCGATCAGCGATCTGGCCACGTGATCGGAGAACTTTGACCCGTCTGATCTGCGATCTGGCCACACGATCGGAGAACTCTAACGCGTGCGATCAGTGATCTGGCCACGCGATCGGAGAACTCTAACGCGTGCGATCAGTGATTTGGCCACGCGATCTAAGAACTCTAACGCGTGCGATCAGCGATCTGAGAACTCTGACGCGTGCGATCTATGATCTGACCACGCCATCAGGGAACTTGGACACAAGTTTGAGACCTGCATGGGCCACCAAATTGTTGATGCTTGATTTTGGACACCAACGACTCGCATGTGGAAAGTGCTAAGAGAGTCTTAGAAATTACACGTGATGGATCCATGAGATTGGAATATGGTGCTGAGATTATATATGTTGTAGAAAACATAAATAATAGACTGACAATAGAGGTTTTTATAGTGGTTCGGATGCTTAAAGCAAATCCTACATCCACTGTTATTTTATATTCTCTAGCTATTTCTATGATATTACCTGTAAGACATACAAAGATGGAGAAATGTTTTGTTTACAGAGAGAAATAATGAAGCTCAAATCTATGCTCAACTCTCATATGCCCAACCCCTCATTTTCGTGTAAAGAAGTGTCAATTTATACACTTTTAGGTCAATGTAATGAGTGTTTTGCAAGTTGCCTTGACACATGGACAGCTCTCATCCGTTATTCTCTTAAAATGAGATAGAGTTGGTATAAGATATCTTTGAGGCGGTATGAGCTTGATAGGAAGTACAATTTATTTTTTAGGCACTTATTGAGCTGGCATCAGCGTGACTTTTTAGGCATAATAATTATAGAATAGAGTTAAAAGATTTTCTATTTAATATAACTAAATCCTAACCACCTAATTTTAATTTATTTTCTAAAAATTAGAAACCCTTAGATATAGGATCTATATTAAAGCAATTTATACTTTATTGACTCATGAAATGTACTAAATTCATAGTATTCTCAGATGATATAACCAAGGAAGGAGTAAATATTGATCATAGATGATTCAGTATGGATAAATAGATATATTATACAAAATTTTCTTATATCTAGAAACAATATGAGTTTGATTTTGGAAATTGATTGCAAATTATATATAGACAATTTTGTTTTTCTTTTTTAATATATTGTTAGAGTATATTCCTTCAATATCTTACACTTTATCAAGTGATTCAATTGTAACACACCAAACTTCTCATTTCCTCAAACATCAAATATCTCTGCCATCAATCGAACGATTTTAAATACTATAATCCACAAGTGAAACATAGTTTTCAATTTCTCCCATAAAAAGAATTTAGTTCTTACATTGATTTATACACAAGCTTAAACTAAATAGATCAACCTCCAAGGTTGGTACAAGGGGAATTTAATCCTTAAATCTCTTACTTCCATCGGCTTCACGACCTTTGATGATTTTGCTTGTAATTATATGAACATGCATGCTTGTTAAAGGAAATGTATGTTAATTATATTTACAAATTACGTAAATTCAATCGATTCATTTTATTCATATCTCTCTTGGACCCTTAGTACCTTGTTAATTTACTCAGCAATTAATTCGGGTTGAGGTTGTTGTTTCCAGTATCGCTTGCCCAGAAAATACAATGTTTCGATGCAGAGAAAACCTGATTGGTTCCCGCAAGAAGAAGGGTTAATTTATGCCAAATGCTTCAACTTAAATTCAAATTATCATAGACAAATAAAGTGAGGTGAGAAATATATACAAAGATAAAGGAGAATTAACGAGCGGAAATAGGATTCAATTATGGACAATATGTAGAGAGAACTATTTGCCTACACATAAATATAGAGGTATAGGAGAGAACGTAAGTGTTCAATTTCGATGTACTTCTGTCAATTATGTGAAAATTAACTTAGAATGGTTTGTCAAATTTTCTCTAGTTTAATTACAACAAACCAGAATCAAGAGTGTTGGATTTTGCCCATATGCGATTCTGAGAAAGTTTCCTAAGACGAAATCAAATCTTGAGCAGAAAATGTGAGCAATTAATTCTCTAAATCTGGCTTCAAAGTAAGTTATTCCGAGAATGTTGAGGGGATCCCTGCAAATAATCTATATGTCAATATGGATCGATGAAACTAAACCAAAGATAGAGCTTGTAACATTAAGTTATAAAAATATTCAATTTGTGTGAATAAATGAGTACCAGTAGAAACTTGTAATAAGCCAAATCCTTATGTAAATTATAAGTATTAAGGAAATGGAAATATGACAGAGGAGACCCACGAAATTGTACTCCATAACCTCAACAAGAAACCATATCACTGTCATTCCGATCAAAAGCGCGGCTGATTCAGTTATTTCCTCCCGAAGAAAGTAAACTTCGTCTGTAAATTCAATTCATGCTAAATTTTCAAAACCTGACAAAGCTAATAAATAATACATGGACATGCACGAAAATCGTAGGTGGGATGAACACTATAACATAAAGTCGATGTTCATGTCTGTCTCAGGTCTCTCCAATAAAATTTTATCATAATATCGAATAATAACATAAGTTAGACAGTTAAGAAGATAATACCTTTTATTGTTTTAAAACTGGCACATGTTAACTGCACCTAGCGTGGTGCGGTTTCATTCAGGGATGAAGACATGGACATGGTGGTTTAATTTGCAGGTAATTTTGGTATAGTTTAAAATATATATGAAGGTGAAGGGCTCTTATATACTTGTTACGAGAATATATTTACCAAACGAAGAAGCAAGGAATTTTTGGGCTTAATTAGCTTTCAATGTACAGAAAAGTTTGCATAAATTCTATCTCAAAATGCGAGAGAAAGAAATAGCTGTTTGCGTGTCCTATTATTTGTATCGACATTGAGAATTTCTTTTATATATATGCATGTTATATCTTCGATGCTATTATATGCATTTAATTTACACCAAATATGGTCATGAAGATATGGACAAAAAAATTTCGATCGAGGGGCAAATTTAAAGAATAACATAATTTGTTATCAACATTGAAAATAATTAATAAATTTCTTTAAAATTGAAATAAGTTCGTATTAAAAAACAAAAAGTTGAAGACAAATAAATAGTATCGTTCATAATTTAGAATGCTGTTATATAAAATTGAATATCAAATTTAAAGGTGCTGCTGAATGACAGCTAAGTAATATTTTTCTATACAGTACCTACCTATTTATAATAAATTAGAACTTCTTTTAATAAATTTTATATAGGGTTTTTAAAAAATAACCATATTTGTAGGGCCTTTTAGTAGATAACTAAAATTATGGACCTTATAAGTTATATCAATATGACCAACTAAACTTAAGTAAATACAATTTTGCTTCACCCCTAGCCTCCCAACACTTTATCACTAACCCTATCAATTTCTAATTCTCATTAGCAAAATCTCACACCCAAAAACATGAAATAAAGTCAGATCATTCAGTATATCAGGTGTTAAGATCGATCTTAACTTTAAATTTGTATATTTGAATATTTTTTATAGATTTAACTTAGAATAATTGTGTCTTGTTATTCTGTTGGTTTTTTTTTTTTTGGTGTGTGTGTGTGTAATGTTAGTATTGTTTTAAGATTTAGGAGTGAATAAATAGTGTAATGTTAGTTATGTTGTGGTAATAAAGTAGATTTTGTGATAAATTATTTGGGAAATCACGCATAGAGAAAAAAACTCGACAATTGACATGAAAATTTTAGTTGGCACAAAGTTTTGGGGAATTGTTCATGGCAAAGTCCCTTGTTGGTGTGATTTTTTACACTAATGCAGAGATTTCATGCTAATAGTGTGAAAAATCACGCAACTCGATTTTTTTTTTTTTTTTTTTTGGCCGTTCAAATTTTCTTATATCTTTTATATTTATATCACACGATAGTTTACAATGGCACATGCGGTTGTTTTGGTTGGGTACAGACAATGAACAACGACGAATGATAACATACTGAGTTCTGTTGGAGGAAAACTGTTAGGGTCAAAAAATGTCATCGACTCAAATAGGCCCAAAGACAAAGACAACTTCAACAAAGCTCGGAGCTAGGGCCAATTTCGATTGAGTCTGCAACAGAGTTTGTATATCAGGTCCGTTCGATGCACCTACCCAGTTGCTTACTACTTGGACCCAATCAGTAGAGGCCCGATTTGTTTAGGCCTCATCGTTAGTTTATCTGGGCCCAAGCCCTTTGATCCTAGACCACCTTCTAGACTTAGGATTTAATTGGAGCCCAAGGTCACCTACTTACTCCGGTACTACCCGAACTCTATCGAAGAGGTCCATTACTACCCTAATTCGTCTAAGATTCGTGTCTTAGACCCACTGGGACTCCATTTCCCACTGAGGTAAGGGAGTCAAAAGTTCTCCTTTTTCACAAAACTCAACTCCAAGGACTCACAATCCTACTAAGATTCGAAGATCCTACAGTAGCTATTTAAACAGAGGCCAACCCTCTCAAAGGAGACACAGACATTACACCTTCAGAACCTGTAGTTCTCACTCTCGAGAATTTCTCATCACAGCCAAAGTTATAGTCTTCGACTAAACTTATGGTAACCTTCTCTCTCCCTAACCTTCACTAAATTAGCCTCACTCAGCCTTGTTATCTTGAGCGTCGAGTGTCTACGGCAAACACCACCCTGGTGTTTTCCTTTTGCTTCACGCTTGTTTTCTTGCATGTGCAGGTATAGAGGATTGCTAGTAGCCTCAACCTCACGAGATTAGACCTTATTTTTGTAAAGGTGGAGTTTTTACATATATAGTTTGGCGCCCGTCGTGGGGTCTCTGGCAATTATTCATCTTTCAAACACTGCTTCGTAAGAAAACTCTTTATGGCTAAAAATTTAAATAACACCAATCCTAGCCTCGAGGCCAGACTCGAAGTTCTGACTGCCCTTATGCAACATCACTAGAAGCTGAGAACACAACCATCCAGACTGAAACGCCTCCATTCAGACCGAAAACGTCTCTATCCGGACTAAAACCAGTCTCTAAAAGAGAAGGTAAGTCAATTTTATGACCTTGAGCTTCAGGTCAAGTACAACCCAATCGTTTTCACGCATCAATTTCGTCCATGCAACCTCTCTAGAATCCAGATCACAGACCAACGATCTCGAATGCAAGATCGCGACAATTCTGTTCATCGCTAGTGGACGATTCAGCCTTGAATCCAATTGAGCGGGGACCGCCAATAAAGCCACTCTCGGTCGACCCACTTTAGGCACGAGATCAAGACATCCAAGTAACAGAAAGCCCACCATAACAAGAGTCACCCACCCTTTTGAGGAGTTACATAATTCTCTTGAGAAGCCTAGAGCCTTCATGTCCACAAACAAATAAAATTTCCTTCACCAACTTAAAAATTAGTTATTTAAACTCTTATCTTCAATTTCTATAATTACAATGAAAATTTCACTTTTCAAATATGTGTTTCTAAGATTATTATATGTCAACTAAATATTTATAAAACTACAAAACAATATTTCATTAAAATTGTATATATTTTATGAAATTATATAAAAATATAATTAAAAAACTGAAAAATGTAAAAAAAGAAGAAAAATCAAAGGTAAAAAATTATGAAAATTTGAAAAATAAAAAAATAGGAAAAAAAATAGCTGGTCAAAATCGCACCCAGAGACTCTAGCCAACTATTTTTTTTTTCAGTTTTTAATTTTTTTTTCAAATTTTTATAATTACTGATTTTTTATTTTAATAACTGATTTTATTTTTAAATATTTAAATATTGAAAAATGTATAGAAAAATCAAATTAAAATATTTGAAAAAAGAAAAAACTAGCAACTTCGGCAACAAAGCCGATGCTATTGGCCTCGATGTCCAGCGTGGTAAGATCAAGGCTAAATTGGCCTTGATTAGGGCAAGCATGGCTGGATCAAGGCCATGTCGACGTTGATCTGGCCAAGCATTGCTGGATCAAGGTCGCATTGTCATTATTCTAAGTTGGCCACGTCAGTTGAAAAAGGCACAATCTGGTCCACGTCAGTTGAGAAAGAAATAGCTATTTGCGTGTCCTATTATTTGTATCGACATTGAGAATTTCTTTTATATATATATATTCATGTTATATCTTCGGTGCTATTATATGCATTTAATCTATACCAAATATGGTCATGAAGATATAGACAAAAAAATTTCCATCGAGAGGCAAATTTAAAGAATAACATAATTTGTTATCAATATTGAAAATAATTAATAAATTTCTTTAAAATTGAAATAAGTTCGCATTAAAAAACAAAAAGTTGAAGACAAATAAATAGTATCGTTCATAATTTAGAATGCTGTTATATAAAATTGAATATCAAATTTAAGGATGCTGCTGATGACAGCTAAGTAATATTTTTCTATACAGTACCTACCTATTTATAATAAATTAGAACTTCTTTTAATAAATTTTATATAGGGTTTTTAAAAAATAACCATATTTGTAGGGGCTTTTAGTAAATAACTAAAATTATGGACCTTATAAGTTATATCAATATGACCAACTAAACTTAAGTAAATACAATTTTGCTTCACCCCTAGCCTCCCAACACTTTATCACTAACCCTATCAATTTCTAATTCTCATTAGCAAAATCTCACACCCAAAAACATGAAATAAAGTCAGATCAGTCAGTATATCCAGGTGTTAAGATCGATCTTGACTTTAAATTTGTAGATTTGAATATTTTTTATAGATTTAACTTAGAACAATTGTGTCTTTTTTTTTTTTTTTTTTTTGTAATGTAAGTATTATTTTAAGATTTATGAGTGAATAAATAGTGTAATGTTAGTTATGTTGTGGTAATAAAGTAGATTTTGTGATGCATTATTTGGGAAATCATGTATAGAAAAAAAAAAAAAAAAAAAAAAAAAAAAAAAACTCAACAGTTGAGATGAAAATTTTAGTTGGTGTGAAGTTTTGGGGAATTGTTCATGGCAAAGTCCCTTATAGTGTGATTTTTTACACTAATGCAGAGATTTCACGCTAATAGTATGAAAAATCAGGCAATTCAATTTTTTTTTTTTGAATTTTTTGTCATTCAAATTTTCTTATATCTCCTGTATTTATATCGCATGGTAGTTTAAAATGGCACATGCAGTTGTTTTGGTTGGGTACGGAGGACAATGAACAACTATGAACGATAACATAATGAGTTATGTTGAAGGAAAACATAAAATGCTTAAAATCCATCCTGATATGACGTATGATGGATTGGTTGAATTGTTGAGCGATCGTCTATGTATTGGCCGTAGAAAAAATACTATCCGAATAGCTATGAAATTTAAGGATGCGATCAATGGAGTGTCTTACGACATCAAGGATTGTAATGGTATTGCTTCTTACATTGCCTTTTGTTAGAACAACGTCAATTTTTTCATTCATATTGGAAATTTGAAAAGGTAGTCTTCCGTTGTGGGTTTGGGAGCACATATATTTGAAAGTGATAGTAACAAATGTAACGATTCATTATATATGAGCGGCGTGGGAAATTATGCAAAAATGGTAATTGGTATAAGCATTAGAATTTTGGTTAATCACTAAAAGCTCCCACAAATATGGTTATTTATTAAAAACCCTTCTATATTTACTACATCAGAACTACATCTAACAATCTAAATATCCAAATAAAATAACATATGAAACAAATAGACTAAGAGTTAGTCATATTAATCCCCTCAAGGTAGGATAAAATAAAACAACAAAAATCTCCCTATAATTTTGTGTAAAACATAAATCTCTTTTTTCTTATGTTTTAAGTATTAAAATAACAGTATAAGGGTAATTTAGTAATATCAACTATCTCATAACAGTAAGAGTTTTTGTTATTTTATAAAATTTAGGGGTATTTTGTTATAATATATATTTGTAACTCACTAACTCAATAAAGAATTAAAATCAGACACATGCGCCCAACATAGGAAGAAACAAAAACAGTTTTATTTTAAAAAACAAAAACCCCGAAGCAACAGTTGACTCGGCAACTCCCAAACCCAAATTAAAACACTTGAAACAGCGACAACGAAAACAATGACATCTTCTAAACACTTTCTTTATTCACTCAGAATCCAATCAAATCAAAACCCTGAAGGCCAAATGATCTCACTTGGATTCTTCCTCCCTCAAACTTCAAGCCCCCACAAACCCATTTGCAAAATGGCAATATCATCATCTTCATCATCATCATCATCAGCTCCACCAACACAATCTACAAGCTTTGGCTTCAAAACTTTGACTAAAACCTTCACTGTTAATGTTCAGAAAGCAGAGACCAGACCGTTGAATGTGCCCTTAATTGCTCCTTTTACCATAGCCTCTTCAAGGCTTGACAAAGTGGAGAACGTGGCCATTAGAATAGAGTTCAATAATGGGTGTGTTGGGTGGGGTGAGGCTCCTATTTTGCCTCATGTGACAGCTGAGGATCAGGAGACTGCTATGGTGAAAGCCGGTGAGGCTTGTGAGGTTTTGAAGAAGAGTCCAGCCATGGCTCTGGGTTTGGTTTTTGAGAAGATTGCTACTCTTCTTCCTGGTCATCAGTTTGCTTCTGTGAGTGTTTCTTGAGATTTTTAGTGTTTTTCGAATTTAGGTTTGATTTAGTTATTGATTTCTTTGTAAGGTTGTTGGAAGGTTTGGTTTTTTTAAGGTTTGGTGATTGTTTTTAGGGTGTCTGGTGTTTGTATTTGAATAAAATTTGGCTGCTTGGTTGGTTTTGTTTGAATTGTGAGTTAGTACTTGAGAGAATTTAAAGCGCATCATAATTAGTACATCTCTTGCTTGAGTTATTGAATCTCTAGTAAATCCAAACAAAAGAAAGCACAGGATTCGAAACTTGTGCTTTCATCTTTTCTTTTCTTTTTACCAATTTCAAGAATGTTTATTGAATCACTTGCTCTGTTGGGACTTGGGTCACTTTAAATGATTGACTTTCAGATGTATTGTTACTGGTGGCAAAAGAAAGATTTGTTCTTTGATGAAATTGAAGTACAAAGTTTGCACAATTGAATTGATTGGAGTGACCACATTGTGGTCTGGCTTAAAGGAGCTATGCTCCAGTGTACATTCATGAGGTACTCTTCTAGATACTCCATATGGTTCTTTCGAAAACAATTGTTATCCTCTATGATGGACTTTTCATGTTTAATTCTGTGAAGAGTTTATGCCTTATTTTGCTTTCAACAATTTTGTTATCCAGTCACAGATTCCTGTATTGATACAAGTCTTACAAGACATTTAATGGCTGGGAAAATCTTACCCTAGTTATACAAAGTTCAATGGAAATTTGTGGTTTTTCTTTATTCAGTTTGACACCTCCATCTCTATAAAAAAAGAAGTCTTATTGACTGTTCTTATCAAATTGTTCTCGCAATTGAAGGTTAGGGCAGCTGTCGAGATGGCATTGATTGATGCAGTTGCTAATAGCATCAGCATGCCTTTGTGGAGACTCTTTGGTGGAGCTACAAATAATATAACCACTGATATAACAGTAAGTTCTTTTTCCACATACTCACTGTAATTATCCCTTTGCGTAAACTTATCTTGTAGAAATAGGTACAAAATAGGGGGTTTGGTGATTAAACTGCACTCAAGATATATGTATACTTAGTGGTAGAACAAGGAAAAGTAGAAACATCCTGTAGTTGCCTCACCTATTTTATGTTTGCAGATTCCTATTGTTTCCCCAGCTGAAGCAGCTGAATTAGCTTCAAAGTACCTCAAACAAGGATTCACTACTTTGAAGCTTAAGGTGGGAAAGAATCTGAAGGCAGACATAGAAGTTCTACAAGCGATACGTGCAGTCCATCCTGATTGTTCATTCATCTTGGATGCCAATGAGGGTTACAAACCCAATGAAGCTATTGAAGTTCTTGAAAAATTATATGGTAAAATGTGGCATGCCTGCTGTGAACAGAAATGATCACAAAGCAGAGAACTATTGGCTTGTGCGTGATCTGATATTGAAATCTTTGTAATTCTTTCCTATATAAATTTAATAATTCATTACATTTCAAAACTTTTAAGTGCTGAGTGCGTATGATTATTGGGGCTTACTTTGAACTATATTCTTTCATACAGAAATGGGAGTGATTCCAGTTCTCTTTGAGCAGCCAGTGCATAGAGATGACTGGGAAGGTCTTGGTCTTGTTAGTCATATAGCCAAAGACAAGTATGGGGTATCTGTTGCAGCCGATGAGAGCTGTCGGGGTTTGCATGATGTTAAAAAAATAATAAAAGGAAATCTTGCAGATGTCATTAACATTAAGCTTGCAAAAGTTGGGGTCCTTGGGGCCCTTGAAATTATTGAAGAGGCCCGGGCATCTGGGTTGGACTTAATGATTGGTGGTATGGTTGAAACTAGACTAGCCATGGGCTTTGCTGGCCATCTTGCTGCTGGCCTTGGCTGTTTCAAGTAAGTATCATGATCCTTTTTGGTTGAAACAATTGTTTACATAAACTTGAACATTTATGTACCAGTTCCAATTTAAGTTGGTCATCTTCTCTATAAATTTATTTTTCAAGTTCTAAATAGTGTGTATTCCGTACAGATTCATTGACCTTGATACACCTCTACTTCTGGCTGAAGATCCAGTTCTTGAGGGTTATGAAGGTATCCTCAGCATAACCTCTGAACTTCACAATGCATCTGACTTGGTTTAATCTGAAAAATATTATGTGATATCTATGTACATCATGTTTACATAATTCAACAGTTTAATAATCCCTTGATTATTTTTGGCTAGTCTCTGGTGCTGTTTACAAGTTTGCGAATGCAAGAGGTCATGGTGGATTCCTTCATTGGGACAATCTTGCATGGTAAGTCCTTGGTTTACTACCTAAGAGCTCTTTCTATTTCTTCTAGCGTCTGGTGTGCTTTGGCATCTCTGTTAAAGAAGTTCTGGAGTTGTTGTTGACTATGGCATTGTCTACTTGTTTCACTTGTAACTAGCTATTTGATCTATAGTTTGACATATCAAGTTCCAAAAACTTTAGTATGTGACAAAATTTGTAGATTAAACCTTGATCAATGTCTTCAGTACTTGTGGTACATATTATATATTATTACATTGTTAGATATTTGAAGCTACTCAATCAGTAAACTAATATTTTTGTGCATAATAAACTCTATTTCTCTCCTCTTTTTCATCAAATTGGTCCAAATCTTTAATGAATTTTGATAGTGTGATGAGCATGTTGAGAATATAAATCTAGCAAACGCTGACAATACCAAATTATCTGCAGAAAACTTGGTTGCTTCCATAGTTCTGGAACTCTAAGCCGTCCATCAGTCAATCTGATTTTTTTGGTTCGTATACCATGCTCGTGGTTAATAAGAATGCAGGCCTCTGATTTTTGTGGGGTTTGTGAACAAGTGAATGAGTGGAGCATCAAAAGTCCTTGCTTGCTTTGTGTTTGCCGGTAAGAGTTACAGTGCCATTATTGCAACTTAAATTATAATTTTGGAAAAAAATATATTCTTCCATGTTTTGTAGTGGAGATAGTGTTGTCTGTTGAGTTTCCCAATCTAATTATCAAGATTGGTTTAGAAGTATCTGTATACCATTTTTTTCCTGAATAATTCTGTTTTCATGTTTTTATCTTATTTAATCTCTATCAACTCTTAGATGAAAACTGTCTTTTAACTTTTGATGTAAATTGTCTTCTATCATTTATGCTGGACCTCTTCCAATCATTAAGCAAGAGGCTTTCCTAGCCTTGCTGGCAACAATAATGCCTTTGATTAACAAATTTCTGCAGCCTGGTGATTAAGGGAAACAATACTTGGTCAATCTTCTTGAATCAATTGTATTGATTCTTTCTTTTTTCCTCTATAATGAAGTTGACTTGTGCTGGAAATGTAACTAAATTGGCAAATTTTGAGTGTTGAAAATTCCGTCATTTCTCCATTTACATCTCCAGAGAACGTTGACATGTTCTCCAAAACTGATGAAATGTCTTAGACCGTAGTTTCCTCAATGGTCAAACTAGCATCCGTAAAACCAATAAATTGGAATTTCTCTTCTTTTATAGACAGTTTACAGTACTTCTTGAATCGGTATTGTTCTTTATTGACTCTTGGATGTGGATGAAGTAGTCCTATCTCTTCCTTTCAGTATTTAGGTTCTTCCATTGTGCCAAGATGCTTAATCCTGGCAATGAAATGGGGAACTTGGAAGGGCAGACTCTATGTATGTTGCTAGTCCTTGACAAATGATACCTTATGATGTTTCATAATATTTATTTAAGTGTGTTACTAGTATGATGTCGCACTCTCTTCATTCGGATGTTCCAACCTACCAATGGCATGTAATATTAGTGATTTAATTATTTTTCTGCTATTAATATTGGGAGTTTGCATCTTATTCGTATTGGAAAATCCTTGTATGGATACCTCATATATTATAACACTAGTATTTGTTCTATGATTCTGTCCTAAGCATTTGACTAAATATAGGATAAAGTACAGAATTTCTCATTCTATATAGTTTTGTAAATTTATTAGATTTTTTTTTTTCATTTTTGGTATTATTTAGTTTCTAAATTAGATGAATCCCCTTCGTAGGCTAAACTGTAAGAGTGGGACAAAATTTGGTCTTCTAAGTTCTAACTAGGGGTGAAAACCGAGTCGAGTCGAGTCGCTCGAGCTCGGCTCGGCTTTGGCTTGAATTCAACTTGGCATTAGTTGAGTCGAGTTCAAGTTCGAGTAGCTCAAATAATCCTACGAGTTGAGTTCGATCACTGTCAAAAAGCTTGACTAAAACTTGATTAACTGAGCTCGAATTCGACTTTTAGGTATCAAGTTTGAATTCAAACTCAATTTATCAGGCTCGAACTCAAAGTCTCGAATTCAAATTTGGTACTGTAGCAACCGAGTCGAGTTTGAGTACCTAGATATTCGACTCGACTCGACTCGATTTCACCCCTAATTCTAACTAAGAAAAATGCTCAAAAATGTGAAGTTAGTGATACTAATTTGTTAAACTTTGCAAGGTCAAGTGGCTCAAAACCTTCTCATTTGGGAACGCAAAATCCAAATTAGCCATCACATGCTTTTTGTTATAAAAGAACAAACAAAAGCAAGGAAAATAAAATATATAAAGTCAGATCTAAGATCCAACACGGTGGACTAGTTGGTGGTGATAGAATCCTAATGTTTTATCTTGAATAAGAAAAGTTATTTTATTGGTACATTCACCATTTCACCACTTACTTTTTGTAATTAAACCCTAATCATGCAAAAGATAAAGATCAATAGTACATTATAAATAATAATATAATACAACAAGCCACTTCACTGTCTATGCAACACTTTCTGGATTTTACCCTGCAGATCTCATTCAGGGTAATTTATTAGCTTATTCATTTTGAACCAAACTAGGCAGAATCTAGAAAAATATTTGTCTTGTGATTTGCCACCAAAAGAAATAGATGTAATTATAAAAAGAGAAAAATAATAATACTATAGTACATTACATTTATAATCCGAAATGTAATATTTTACTTTTATAGAATCTAGGTAGAATTCAGTATATTCATCTTATGTGCGACCAACCAATCAAGATATATTATGTCAGTCTTGTGTGATTTACGTACGAATTATACTACTCATATGAAATCATCTTATAAAGATATATATAAAAGTGGTGTGGTATTATCTTTTAATTGATGAATCATTCATCTTTGATTACCGAGTTGACTTTCATAATCACTCTTTCACTCGTTTTTTGTATACATATCTTTGTAAAAGGACTTTGAATGTATAGTATTATTCTTTACATACATCTTATAATGAGTTGGTCAAATAAAATTAACCTCTGTGATTTACTAACATCAGATGATTGGTTTGTCGCCGCAACAAAGATTTTCTTGCAATTCTAAAACTATAAATAGAAACTTTACTGGACCATCAATGGGGGAAATGCCAGTACAGAGGAGTGGTAGGAAGGACAGGAGGTAAAGAATAGCAGAATGCAGTTAAAAATTTGCTAATAATTGTGATGCCACTATACTAATAATAAAGCACAAGTCTTAGGGTTAAGTTATCAATTATAGAACATTACGGAACAAGTAAGCGTGAAGATTAAAAGTTAATTTATTTTTCGGCCCGCATCATGATATCAAGCACTCTAATTTTGACTAAAAAATTCGACCAGAGAATCCCAGAAAGATAAGACTGATAAAGATTCATTGAGGCTGACTTAAATCACTTGATTTACATGGTATATTAGCATCACAATATGCAATACTTCAATTATATTTTTATACTTAGGCGTGCATGGTCAAATGGATTGATTATTGAACAGGGTTATGCAGTTCCTTCAAATCTGATATATTAAAGATGATTAAAATTATTATTTTTAAAAAAAAAAAAAAAACTTAAACTATATAGAGTTGGTAAGAACAAAGAACTGGCAGATTTTTTTTCTTTTTATATTCAGAATTTCTTGACTTTGCTTTGAAAATTGAGTTAGAAACTGGAGTTCTCCGTCAACCTTACAATCTTGAAAAGGGAAACAGTGTTCATGAGAGTACTTGAATTTCATACCTTATAAGAATAAATCACAGAACTAACTGTTTGGCTTTATGAAGAAATCATCATTTTATTCAAAAGACCCCAAAAACGGATATCAAACACTTCATCTTTTTTATATATAAATAGAATGTATCAGGGATCTTTTCTTTAATGTTTGTGGTTTATATATGTGAATCATAATTGATCAGTAGTAGAAAGGCTTCATTTGAGGTTGTTGAAGGTTCAAATTAAGCTATGGAGGCTGGATTAACCGACAGGATAGTGTTAGACTTTTTCAATATGGTCCTATACTTCTCATATAATTACATTTTGGTCCCTGTTGATGTGGTCTACGGTTGTCTCTTGAGCAGTTGTCTTTGATGGAAAGACAACTGCATAAGAAAGAGACTTTACAGGTCCCATTGATGCATTTTTTTTTATTTAAGTTTCAAAACCATCACTCCAAAATATGCAGTCAGTGGAGATCTCGTAATTTATAAGGAGCAAGGAGAACAAACAACAATTGTTATGGCCGGAGGTTTGTCATTTACTTCTGCATATATTCCAGGAATAGATTTTATATTGTAATTGATTGTATTATCAATATGATATTGAATATGATATGTTTTACATTTGGTATCAGAGCTTTATTTGAATCTCTGCCTAGCATGAAGTTGTTTGTTGCAAATCTGAAAAATTGCATAAAATTAGGATTTTTTTCATTAAAACCCTACTGTAAATCAAGCATACTTTATTATAAATAGAACTGTTTTCGATTTTGATGTCATTGGAATCCTTGTTGAAAAAGCTTTCCAACGGTATATTATTTGTCAAAACGGAGTTCTGGATGCAAGTTATGCTAGTTTAAAGTTTTGGATAGAAATTATTGTTGGGTGTTTTCGGAACCATTTATGGCATCGATTTAGGACAAAATTGTCTTTGGGATTCACTGTATATGTTTATGTCCCATTTAAGTTTCCATCGAAAACGTCGGAAAAATGGCCGGAAACGGCTGTTGAAATCTGAAAAAAAATTGGGTAAAAGTTGCAGAAAACCGGGTCAAGAAGAACCGACCTAATAGGATAAACGGTCAAACTGACCCGGTTAAGTCAAAAGTCAAACCGGGTCAAATGACCCGGTCAACCCAGCCCAAACCCGTTAGTCAACCCGACCCGTCAACGTCCAGACCGTCAATGACCGGTCAACGGTCAAACTGACAATGAATCGGTCACGGTCCAGACCGGTCAACAAACCGGTCCATGGACAAATCGGGTCAACCGACCCGGTCAAAATGGGTCAACCCGACCCTGGTCAAGACCCGCGCGTGTAGGCGCTGAAGAGCTTGCGTCAGGCGCGTGAGGGTGCGTGTTTGGGCGCGTGTAGGCTTGTGCAAGCGCGTGAAAGGACCGTGGAGGCGCGTGAGGGCGGTGAGATGTGTGCTGCCTTCTGGCGACGCGTGGGGCGCGTCCTTTAGTCACGGTGGCGCGTGGAAGTCGGTACAGCTTGTATGATGGTTTTTTATGTTATATTACTTTGTTATGCATAAATATGTATTTTTCTTGCATTGATTTGTTTTTATTATACAATTGATGTTATAAATTATTTGATGTTTTATGATCGTATATATTTTTGATAATTTAGAGTAGTCGCAGCATCTAAATTATGATAATATATGCATTAAGAAATTATTATGATCATATTAAGGTTAATATAGTTTTATAGTTAATCATATTAGTATAATCATTTTACCCACAGGAATGTTATATTTTGATTATATTAGGAGAAATAGAAATTATTCTTATTTCTTAATTAGCCCACGGTATTATGAAATATTAATAATTTCTAGTTTCATCATTAACGGATAATGAATCATAATTGTAATGTCTTTACCCACAGGGAGATTTTTATGATATGTCGATTCATTTATGATTTATTATTTGTTTTACATTGGTAAACTTATAATTGTTATTGATGGTTTGTGCCTCATAATTCATTTAGTAACATGTCTATGAATTACCTACAGTTGTCAAACTTTGATGATGGTTGAGGATAAGGTTCCTAATTTAAATGGTGATAACTACAAATCTGGAGAGGTTATCCTCCTTCATTTAGGGTGCATAGATCTTGACTATGCCTTCGTAGGAAGAGCCACCAACACCTACAGATATAGCTCTCAAGCTGAGATTGCTTGTATGAACGGTGGGAGCGATCTAACCGTTTAAGCATGATGTTCATCAAATCTCACATTACGAGTAGTATCCGTGGGTCGATATCGGAGTGTGAAAATGTCAAGGATCTTATGGAGGCAATTCATGCACAGTTTGAAACATCAGACAAGGCATTAGGAAGCTCCTATGAGTAGATTGACATCCATGAAGTTGACTGGTATTAAAGGAGTCTGTGAGCATATTATAAAATGAGGGACATAGCTGCTCAGTTGAAATCCCTTCAGATGGTGATTATGATGTTTTCCTGGTGCATTATGTCATGAACTCTCTCTCGTCCATTATACTCACTCCTTTCAAGATATCTTATAACACACAGAAGGATAAATGGTCAATCAATGAGCTTTTGACATGTGTGTTCAGGAGGAGGAGAGACTGCTTCAGGAAGTGAATGAAACCGCACTCTGACAGGAAATGTCTACACTTCAAACAAGAATAAAAATGGAAGGGAAAAGGCAAGCTGCATGAGGTTATGAGCAAAGGTAATAAGGACAATATCAAGTGTTTCTTCTGTAAAAGACGGACACATGAAGAAGGATTGTCCTAAGAAAAAAGC